CATCTCTGTGGGCCCCGCTGTGAATAATATGCGTTAAAACATTCGTATCTTTTCCATAGGACACTGGGTTGTCAACTGAAACCAAAGTTTTTGACCTTGAACTTTGACCTAGGAAGTTGTACATAAATTATGACACACCCTCTGGTGTTGGTTTATATAGATGTCAAGTATAAACTTTGAAATCATAACGGTTCCCAAGATATAGAGCGGACACGATCTTTACCACAGGACATGGGGTTCTCAACTGAAACCAAAATGTTTGGCCTGGACCTTTGACCCAGGAATTTGTACATACATTATGACATACCCTCTTGTGTTGGTAAATATACATGTAAAGTATGAACTTTGAAATCGTACGGTTCTCTAGATATAGAGTGGACACAATTTGTTATGGACGGACGGACGGACGGACGGACGTCTTAAAATATTAATTTGACTTGAATTTATACGAGTTTACTAAATATACATGTTTATACCAAACCAAGTCAGTTGATATCTTGTTTCTCGCCGGACTAAACAAAAGCCCAGGAGAGCTTTGGCTATCATGTGTCGTCTTAGATAGATAAGGTTGACTTATAAGCTGTCTATACAAAGTAATGGCATGAAGACATCACCAAATCACCATATGCAATACACAAAAAAGACACCTAGAGCTCACAATATGATCTTCAACTACCCATCAACAGGCAGTTAGTTCTGGTTGGCTCTAAACACAAATTCCAGGGTACAGCAAAATGTGAAAACATCCAATTAAAACTGGGTGACCTGGGAGGAAAAGATTGGAACTTTCCTAAGAAATACAAATTTCAACCACCTCAACATTTTTTAATACGGAGATGTGGTATGATTGCCAATGTGACAACTTTCCCAAAAGTTCAAATGAAGTGAATGTAATCAGTTATATAGACAATGTAGGCAACCGTACAACCTTCAACAATGAGAAAAAAACATTCATATAGTCAGGTATACTAGGCCCTCACATGAAAAATATGAAAGAGAGATGTCCAGGTCAGATCAACTCTGTCTAACGAGATGAAACCCTTGCAAATTTTCCATATATTAAAATAGGTAGCCTTCAAATTATAATAAAAATCACAATTTACGTATAAAAAGAACAGTACAGTTTTTTCAGTAGTCGCTGAACCACGGAAATGACAACAGTTTTGTTTTGGACAAGAAAATGTCGCAAAAAAATTAAAAAAGACTTTGTCCCTGAGGTCACAGGTTAAGATAACATTCGGTAGTTTTGAAGCACATTATATGGTTAAAAACCTTTATACCAGATATCATAGTTTGTCAGGGACATCGGACATATGCCAGACGGAAACTTGTATCTAATGCATCTTATTACAAGAAATAAATATCTAAGTCTGTCTTCCAATTTCTGAAATATAAATAGAATATCTAATCCAAGAATTCAAATATCGAAAATCATTCCACGATTTTCCGAATAACATATTAATACATGACTGCGCGTAGCAAATGAGTTAAAAGGTAAAATAACAAAAATATCGAACTCCAATGAATATTCAAAACAGAAAGTCCTTAAGTTTATAAAATGGCAAAATCAAAAGCTCAAACACATCAAACGAATGGAAAACAACTGTCATATTACTGACTCGGTACAGGCATTTCCTTATCTAGAAAAGGATGGATTGAACCTGGTTTTATAGCTAGCTAAACTTCTCACTTGTTTTACAGTCGCATCGAATTTTATTATATTGACAACGGTGTGTGAGCAAAACAAACAGACATAATAGGTAAAAATGTCAAAAATTAAGGCACAGACGTTTACATTGTGTTATAATCTTAATCACAATAAAAACAAATAACTATTTCAACAAAGTAAAACAAACTGGCATATAGGCACTCTATAGACAAAGCACATAAGCAAAAATGAAAGTAACAAGAAAAACAAAAATGACCATAGCACAATAACACTATGGCGGGATGTATAAATACCGAGCCACCCCAAAAGGATAATTATTACAAAAAATGGACTAAACGTAAAGGTTAAAAATATACAAAGACAAATAAAAAGAACACTATAACACGTAATGAAGATGATAAACAACGTCAGTATATAGAATCTATACTTCAAGACCATCATGTATTATTTGTCTTGGTATCTTCCGATGAACTTTTTTGTAGAAAAAGAACGAGACGTTTTTTGACATAACCCTGGTTCATCAACTTTCTGCTTAGAGGCTGGCGACGTTTTATAAAGTCTGAGTAGCAGCTGCAAGCTCTTGAATACCGAATGTGTTTAGAAATGTATATCCCATATGCAGCTGATGCTGGTATATTGCTGGTAAGGTGAGGGAAATTTATAATTTCAAAATTAAGATCATCTCGTTTGTCATTGATTTTGGTACTGATACGACTGCTTATGTCAATTTCAAGGTATAGGTCTAAAAATGTGCCAGAGGAAGCCGTGTCTGTTGTTTCCTTAATTTCTAGTTCTGGAGGATATGTTAATGGAATCCAATCAGAAAAGTTTGGATTGTTAATGGAAAGAACATCACCAATATATCTGTATGCGAAATTAAATGAGTTGGCTTCTTTGATCTTGTTTTTAATAAGTGTCTGAAGGAACTCCGATTCATATGAAAATAAGAAGAGGTCGAAAAGGAGAGGCACATAGTTCGTTCCCATATGAATGCCGACAATTTGTTGACCATATTGTCAGTGTTATTCGGTCACAAGTTTTTTAGTTGTTTTTTTTTATCTCTATCAGTAGATTATTAAAAGATACATAAAGGATATGCAATAAAACATTTACATGGAAAACGCTTAACATTTTAATACTACTACTAGTCTAATAGCAATAAAGTCAGACAAGCAAACTGATGATTATTAAAACCCTTTCAAAGAATGCTCGTGGTTACTGAGAGCAAGCTCGTTGTATTTATACTAATGATATGAATTCATGCTCATCTTAGTTAGTGTTTGTACAAAAAATCTTCCACTAACAATGGACTTAATTTTTTTCATAGGTTGGGTCCATTTTTTGTGGGGGTGGTAGTGTTATGATTTCAGTTTTCCTTATGTTTTGTGCAATAAGTCTTGTTTTGTCTTTCTGTCCTGTTTCGTTTATTTGGCAAAAGAGTTGTCAGTTTCTCTTCGAATTATGAGTTTTGAATGTCCTCGTTGTATCTTTTATCTCTTTTTTTCCATGCAGTTAAAGGAGATGATTTCAACATTTGGGATAACTGGTATTGTGAAAGAATAAAGCATTCCAAAAGTGGTTGTCGTTTGTTGGTGTGGTTCATAGGTGTTTCTCGTTTTTTATATAGATTAGACCGTTGGTTTTCCCGTTTGAATGGTTTTACACTAGTCATTTTGGGGCCCTTTATAGCTTGCTGTTCGGTGTAAGCCAAGGCTCCGTGTTGAAGGCCGTACTTTGACCTATAATTGTAAACTTTTCATACATTGTGAGTTGGATGGAGAGTTGTCTCATTGGCACTCATACCACATCTTCTTATTTATATTAGTAACACATGATACATTGTGTATGTACTAAGCCATTCTTTTTGTTCCTTTTACTTGTGTTTGTAGATCTAGCACAAATGATAAACAGCGAACGAAATTATAAGTAAGAAAATAAATAATTTATTACAGTGACATGTTTAATTACAGTGTGTCATACAAATATGTTTAAAAAAAATAAAATGCACCAAACAATACAAGTCACTTTCAAAATCACAAAAAAAAAATGTTTCATTTTTATAACACGGAGTTTTCGAACAAATGAGAAAGTCTGAGCTTATTTTAAAAAAGTTTTAAATAAGTAATGCTAAATAATAACTAGAACTAAAATATAGAATTAAAGATTAAATATAATTTATGTTTAATTGAATAAATGTTTAAGGTTAGAGAAGAAAAACAGAGTACAGTTATAAAATAAGACTGAAAAAATATTCACTTTTGTTATGAGGTAAACTTTAATTTCATATTTTAATATCACTTCTAGTGATCAATACAATCTTTACTGTCAGCTAAAATTACCACAGAAAATGAAATAGAAGTCTGTATATTGAATTCTATTTTTGCTGTTATTTTTTTGGTATCATTGCTTGAATTGTTGATCTGAGTTAATTGTTTTGTATTACTAATTAACGATTCCTTATACTTTGGAATTAGTGGTTAATGCTGCAATTTCACTTTCCTATTTATAATTTGATATTAAAGACCTTTCTCGAGCTCGTGATTATTTTGTTTCCTAATATTTCTACGTGTTCTTTTCCTCTTTTTTTCTAAAAGTCCTTATGGTGAATATTGGAATGAAAACCCAACCGTTAGAGTCTTACTACGTTAATCAATCATCTAGGTCAACCAAACATTCCAGTTCAACTACGTCAACTTTCAGAAACTGATCGTTATCATGTTTGAAATAATATTGATAAACAGTTACTGACACTTAACTAATCTGAAAGACTACAGAAATAGGGTAAATTGGCTAAAAGCGAGTCGAATTGTAAACCACTAAAGCTCATTTCGACGACAATATCATAATTGCATTATTTATCAGAGAAATTTATGTTGGCTTTTGAATTAATGACTTCATCATCGCTTTATTAATTTAAGGATTAAAAATCGTCGAAGTATATAAAACAAACACGTAAGCTTAAAAAATCTCGGATACAAAAACAACAACAAAATAGTGGACTGTTCACCAGAAAACTTAAACAATCATTTGAAAGATTAAATATTTAGTCAGATAACACAAAATGGCGATTCTGTTTAAGTTTAGATAATCAACAAAGAAAAATATACGACTAGAACTAAATGGTTTACAGCAACATGAGTGATCCCCAGGGGTCTCTAAAAACAAATTATTTTTTAAATTGAATTAATTTTTGAAAGTATTAAATACTTTTACGGAATATACAACGCATCCGCTCCTTAAAAAGGTAATTTAGTTATCATTTAATTGTCCAATAGGAAAACAAAATTAACATGTTGATTCTTTTTACTTAAAATTTACAACAGTCATTTTTTTACTTCATGTGCCCAGATATGTTATCAATTATTTCTTCAATTGGTGGTCGCTGTGCAGGACAAGGATTCTGGCACATTTGTCCTATTGTCTTCAAAGGGCTTGTTGGGAACATCCTTATAAGATATCCCAGGCTGAAGATATCTGTTGCCTTTGTAGTAAGCTGTCCACTGCTAATTTCTGGTGCCATGTGTGGATATTTGTATGCTTCTTCTACGGGCAGGTTAAAGCTCCGACCTCCCCTATGGCTGGCATGGCCCATGTCGATAAACTTGATGGATAAGTCTTGTATATTAACCATAATGTTATCAGTCTTAATGTCGTTAACAAGGACATAGGCGTCATGGATAGTTTTTAGACTATTACAAATATTTAGGGCAATCTGTGACCAAGCTGAGTGTGAGACGGACGGGCTTGACAACAGTTGGTATAATTCTGTTGAATTTTCAATTAGTTCTTCAACCAAACACAGTGGGAAGCTATTGTTTTCTATAATACCAAACACTTTTGGCGTCACATTCGAGTTATTAAGAATTTGCAGTATTCCCGCTTCTTGTGAAATGTAGTTCACGTTTTTGTGCTGATCATTATACAGTTTTATAGCAACTTTCTCTAAAGAACACACATAGTGTAAATTGCCTTGTAACACTTCTGCTGTAGCTCCTTTTCCAAGCACTTTTATATTGCCATTGTCAGTATGGTCAAAACTGATGTTTCTGATGTTTATAATAGGAATATATTGCTGTGTTGAATGACATGGTAATTGGTCGGTTTGAGTTGTAAATTGAGAAGAAATATGTTGTACGGCTTTTGTTTCAGGTTCTATCCACAGAGATGGTAAAGATGCCGACGATAGCATTACGGCAGAAGTTTGAGAAGTTTGCGAAAATGGCGATGTCACCATCCCAGCAGAAATAGGGGGCGATTGTAGCAAACTTGCTGAAGTCTGGATAGATGGCGATGGCAGAATATCCACAGAAGTTTGTAACAATTGCGATAACAGATTCACGGCAGATATCTGTAACAATGGTGATAACAGATTCACGGCAGCTGTCTGTAACAGTGGTAGTGACACAATCACGGCAGCTGTCTGTAACAGTTGCGGTGACACAATCACGGCAGCTGTTTGTAACAGAGGCGATGACACAGTAACGGCAGATGTATTTAACAGTGGCGATGATACAATCGCGAAATAAGTTTGATACAGCGGCAACGATATCATCACTGCAAATTTCTGGGACGATGGTGAGTGCTGCTTCATGGAAAAAGTCTGTGATGGTAGCATCGTCGTGGAAGACTGTGAGGATGGCAGGATCACGGAAGAAGTTATGGATGATGCTTGTGGAGAAGAGGAAAGAGGTGGTGTCTGTATCTTTATAACAGAATGAACACATTTCCCTGATGTAGGTGTCGATGATAGTTTTGATTGAACCGCACCAAATGGTTGCAATGGTGATATGTTAATAGAAGATACAGGAAGCTGAAAAAATGTCGAAGATACAATCGTACGGAGCTTAGACGCCATTAATATGTCTTCTACCGTGAAGTCCGATGATAAGTTGTTGTCAGTTTCAATCATACTTCCAAACTCTCCAACGATTGATTGAACATTTTCTTCTTTGCCGATAATAATATCTTTCTTTACATCATTTAAAGACGCTTGACAACTTTCGTGTATTTCTGTTTTATCATTATAAAGCGGCTTGACTGCTTCCCATGCTAAGTTAAACAATATCTTTCCGCTGGACTCTAGTTTTATCTGAAAGAAGTAAAAGTAGTCCTGTTTTCGAAAAAATATAAAAGTTCCGTTAGAAGATTTTATATGAGAGAGAGGCGAAAGTAACCAAAGGGACACTTAAACTCAAAAGTCGAAAAAAAAACTGAAACGCCATGGCAAATAAAGAAAAAAAAAAGACAAACAACAGTACACAAAACAAAACATATAGAAAACCAGACTGAGCAACACGAACCCTACCAAAAACCTGGGGACGATCTCTATAATATTCAATGTAATTTAATGTAAAATTGAAATATCAATTCGAAGTAAGCCTATATTACATTTTGCTATGAAATAACTTGAGATTAAAGGAGTATTAAATTGCTGAAGTGTGTGTATCGATGCCGACATCGATTGGTATCGAAGTAATTAGTGATCAATTAAAACGTAATATTGAGTATTATCTATTTAACATCATTGTAAATGAAGAAAAAAAATTATGATCAAAAACGTAACTCATGCCAATGGATTATCCCATCAGTAATTGCTTTTCGGGTTAATTTGCTTAATCAGACTAAACATAAACTTAAAATCATGATTAATTGACAGACAGAAGAAAAGAAATCACGATATAATTTTTTCATGATTATATATCTAAGTTTTTGTAGGTGTATACATAGAGGTCTGACTGTCCCCTCTTAATTTTTATCCTGCAATCGACCTTTCTACTATACTAGTACAGGTATACAGATAACACGAAGCGATATACGTATACTAGACGTATATAGTCTCCTGGTATCCTACTTCTGTTGCGAGCAAACGGTTATGTCAAATTACTGTTTACGTCACAGTTGCAGTCCGCGTTTAAGTCATGTTGATTTCTATCAAAAGCAAATTCAACGATTGGGATGGGAAAAAATGTACGAAATTAATTGCAGGATAAAGACAGTAACTGTTTAGTGTAGTCGCTGAAGCTCGCATTACACCTGTTTCATAGCCTCGTACAAATACATCTGATATTTAAAAAAACTAAACAGTTATTGTCTATATAAACGCGGGAGACGATATCAAGGAGAAAATTGAAACGAAGAAAAACAAGACAATAACATGACTGAAAGAATGAAATGATGAAAAGACAGATGACAGATTGAGCAACACGACCCCAACAATTATTGCAAATCAACTTACTTTTGAGGATACATTATTTCGCTTGAGTTTCTCTAGACAACTTCGAGGAGATTTATTTTTGCGACTTTCTGGTTTTGTGATGTATTAATATAAGGGAGATTAAAGTTTTTCGTATTCACGACGATTTAGTTTCGCGTTATTTTTCTACTCGTGAAAGTCGCGAAAAATAAATCGATTGCAAAAATAAGTTGGTTTACAGTAACCGATGGATGAACTTAGTTGCTCCGGAAAGTATCATGTTGCTCATACATGCATCATGTTGCTCTATGGCCGGGTTGTTGTCTCTTTGACACATTCCCCATTTCCATTCTCAATTTTATCAAGTAAACATTCGGTGATAAGTCGTATTTGGTGATATTACAACCGAAGAAAAGAGCTTTGGAATATATCCGTGGTAATCGGAAACACAAAATTATTCCTTAAAGGTCAGCCCAATCATGAAATCATAATCTTTAAAAATGTAGACCCTCCAATCTTTTAGTGTCGTGTTCACTGAATGAAGTTTATCAAAATGAGGCTTTCTTTTAATTTACGTGTCCAAACCCATATAAAGCTATACTAAATTATCCTTAACCCTAAACCTTACCCTAACCCATACCTAAACCTAACACTAGCTCTAACAATAAAACCTAACACTTACATAGAATATCCTCTAACCTAACCATAACCATGAATGAACCCTAACTCTAAAGTATAGGGACCCTTAGTTCACAGTAAAAGAAAGCCCAAAATGATACGCGTTGTACGCCTCTGTCTTATAATAGACTGTATATTTAGAGGGTTTCTTATCGTCGAGTTGCAATTTGCGAGTTAAAAAGGCCAAGTTGTGAGTTACAAAAGTCGAGTTGCGAGTTAAGAAAGTCGAGTTGCGAATTACGAAAGTCGAGTTGCGAGTTAGGAAGGTCGAGTTACGAGTCACGAAGGTCGAGTTGCGAGTTACAAAAATATTATATTTCTCTAATTTCTTAAGAATTATATATACATAAACGATCGTATATATAAACGGTCGTGTCGTCTGATTTTTGAAACAGAATTTTCAGGTTTACTTCGCATTTAATAAACAAAGCATACATGTACCCGAACTTAGTTATACACTGAATGAGGAAGGGTCCCGGTATTTTGATTGCAGGATTTGAAAGAGTTATGTGATACTTATTTATAAGAGTCTTTATGTTGCAAAGTCACGCACGCTTAAATTTCTTTCATGAGAGCGATTGTTCATTTTCTAAAAATAAAACATGATATACTGTAGATATAAGACAAAATGTATACCGTACTGAACAAATCAAGCATAAGAAAATAAATCATGTTGACAAATGAAATATAGTTGCAAATTATCGACATCTCACAGAATATGGCACTATGTTAGGCCTAAAGTGAATACAAAGGTACCGGGCTTATAATATTTTCTACTACAACGCAAAAATAAGCATGCTATAGATGTATTTCTATGGCATTATGGTAACTTCCTGGCATAATTTTCATGGTTCATTGGTCAATGCTATTTTTTTTCTTGTTTGGTCTGTTTTTCAGATGCTATAAGAAATAGGTGAACTATATTTGGTTTATGGAATGATTGTAGGGTGTATATATATATATATGTATATCTGACATGTTTCATCTTACCTTGACCATAGTTTCATGGTTCATTGGTCAATGTTGAATTTTTCTGAATTGTTCTGTTTTTCAAATACTTTTCAAACTAACAACTCTTTAAAACTGCACTTTTTCATATTGATGTAAACATGTTTTGACGTTTTATACAGACAATTTAAACTTTATTAAATAACTGCACAATGAGTTTCGTGTAAAAAAAGTCTTTGACAGCTACATGTATAGAATAAAGAATGGAAACGGGGAGTGTGTCAAAGAGACAACAACCCAACCAAAATATACAAGTCAACCCAAGGTCACCAATGGGTCTTCAACACAGCGAGAAACCCCACAACCAGAGGCAGCTACGAGCAGGTCCCGAAACACAATTGTACACTAGATCAAGAAAATGGACGCAATTTTATGCTCCGAAATGCAGCGGGGTTAAGCAGGTTTTATGAGCGCTCAACCTTCCCCCTTCACCTCTAGCCAATGTAGACATATATAACTTAAACGTCCACAATTTTGAGTGTCATTGCCAAAGAATAAATTTTGGGGTCCAGAACAAATATTGCCTCTGCAGCTGCCCCCAAAGAGCCAACTCTTAACGAAATCTGCAGAAGGGGTCTTTTACATATATGTACTATAGTTTAGTTGCTATCTCCCTTTACGTTTGATATGACGGTGCTAGCTATGAAATGTAATAATAACTAGATTTGTAATTGCTAGCAATAACGGATGGCACCCTCGTCCCCCTATTGCCAGGATAACGGCAGCCATTTTGAAATTTCCAAAGTCAAAGAGCGTATCTACACATGCAAATTATCATATTTATAAATTTTCATTAAGTTTGGAGCATTTTGAAATTTTTGACATTTTTGCTGTTTCCATGGTTACTGCCGACATTTTGAAAATTCCAACTTCAAAATGCAACTCTGCCCATGCCAGTTACCATTTCTATAAAGTTTCATCCAGTTTGCAGCATTTTAATTTTTTTTGAAATTTTGGACATTTTTGCTGCATCCATGGTTACAGTGGATAATTCCAAAATTCTAAAAGCAGACATCTTATTGCCACATGTCATGTTATATACCAGTACAGTTTCATTGACTTTGGTGAAATACTCTTTAAGAAAATTCTGATTTTATGCGTTTTTCCATAAAGTCAATGTTAAACTTGCCCCCAGTTTCCATGACAACAGCGGCCATTTTGGAGTATCCAAATATCGTCTTGGCATCTTGGCATACTAGGTAACATTTCCATTAAGTTTCATCAAGTTGAGTCTTATTATGAAAGATTTAGCATTTTTCACAATTTAACTGTTTCCATGGTAACGGCAGCCATTTAAAAATTCCAAGTTC